GGCTGAGACGCTTCAGTGGGCGTGTTGTCAAAATCAAGCTCCACCACTTCGCCTTCTTCAGCTGGCGTCTGAGGAACCTCCTCCTCAAGAAATTCAGCCCTCAGTTCGGAGACGTCCAGCCCGGATGCACCTCCTCCAACCTCTCATAAACCTCCTGGTATGCCACCCTGCTCCAGTACATGCTGAAGTGGCGATACTCCTCAGTGAGATGAAAATTGGCTATGTAGTTCTTCACTGCAATATCGCCCGCCTCGATCACGTCAGCTTGATACTTCTTTACTTTGGCGGCATACCAGTCAAGCTCCTTCTCCATAAATTTATTGGCATCCCGTGCCCCAACAAGCTCAAGGTTTGCTTTCTCCAGAGCCTCGACAGTGACCTTTTGGTGGTTGTCAGAAATTTTCACCTTCTTCGTGAGTGCAGCCACCTTACATTGGGCCTCGTGGACCTCCTTCTTCATCGCCTCTACCTCAGCTAGTGCGGACTCCAGCTTGGCCTCATTCTCATCAGATCTGACCCATAGGTCAATGTTCATTTCTTTCTTTTGCTGGAGCTCCGCCTTCACTGCCTCCAACTCATCACGCGAGGCTCGGTTCCTTGATTGAATATCTGCAAGGACCGTTTGGCACTTCAGCGCCATGCCAAAAGCCCTGGTGGTTTGACTCACCAAGATGGTAGTGAGGTCCACTACATCACAGGTGGCCACATAATTTTGCCACCTCTCCATCCAGAATTTGTTGAAGCCCTCAGTGGCACCCCTCACCTCGGCAGGGAGCATCTCTATCACAGCAGGGGCAATCTTATCATCCCTGCCCCCCAGGAAGTTCCCAGACTTCCATGGGGTCCTCTCCACAATGGCCTTCTTTTTGGCCTCGGCTGCTTGCTGCACCTCTCCAATGATTTTCCTCGATTGGGCCACCATTGCAGCGTCTATCGAAGATTGGAGGAGCTTCGACTACTTTGACGCGTCATTTTCAGAGTGGGACACTGAAGTCCCGAAGCTTGCAGAAGACCCACCACCTAGGCCCCACTTCCTTTTCTTCTGCTGAGACTCTTCAACCACGCCCTTACCTTTGGTGGCTGGTGGCTTGCCTCCCTTTGGGGCCTCCTTAGGGACCTCATCTTCAGCCTCTTTATCGTTCTTGTTCTTGCTGAGGCGGTCCAGTTTTGATTTCACTTGTTTAGCCCCAGAGGATCCGGGCTTCAGTGCCTTTGCCCCAGTAGTAGACGTGACCCTCATTATACTGGCCATATCAGGCAAGGGGTACTCCTTCTTGGTGAATTTATCTGCAATTAATGAGAGACGAAGTTAATTTCACGAATGGTGGCGAAGCGCCAACTTACTAACAAATACTCCTAGTGGAACAGCCTCTTACCTTTGGGGGCCATGAGTCCAAAGTCTATGAAATATTTGCTCCTGTCAATGAGATAGGGGAAGCTTCGGAGTCTCGGAGGTCGCTGGTAAATATCCTCATTAACAGTCCACTCCGCCTCGGAAAGCTCGTACCTCGTGCTGCAATCTGCAAGTAAACACACACGTGTTAGTATCAACAGACTACGAAGGAATTACAAGAATTCAGGATGACACTCACATGCTTCGTAGTACTGGGTCGGCACGGTACAGGCTGGGACTGCATCTCCCTCAACCTTCTGCCACCTACCTGTTACCCAGAACCAGGACTTCTTCCACCCCTTTATGGAGGAGGGGAGCCCAACTACGAAGAAGGCATGGAAGCCCCAAGGGGTGATGTAGTACCACCCCTTTGAGTCGTCCTTACCCACGACCCTGGCGTGAAAAGGGGTTTCAAAGACGTGAAGGGGTAGGTCCTCGCCTAGGGACACCTCTTTCCAAAGGAAATAGGTCCTAACGACTTGACTCCACCCATTTGGAAGGATTTGAGTGGGGGACAACATGAAGGTCCTCAGCACCGCTCTAAAGAAGGGGTGCAGAGGTAGACGCACACCTGCCTTAAGCAGGTATTCACTAAAGGCCACACAGTTTGGCCTTGGAAAACTGANACAGGAAGTAGGTCCCCACGACTTGGCTCCACCCATTGGGAAGAATTTGGGTGGGGGACAACATGAAGGTCCTCAGCACAGCCCTAAAGAAGGGGTGCAGAGGCAGACGCACACCTGCCTTAAGCAGGTATTCACTAAAGGCCACACAGTTTGGCCTTGGAAAACTGACTCTTTCGTGAGGGTCAGGGACTAATAGTTTTACATAATGGGGTATGCTATATGTGTGCCTAAGTTCATCTAGTTTGGCAGAGGTGATGTTGGATTGAACTTTGGCTACCCCCATCCCGCCTCATAATCTATGGGCTCCTCGGTCATGCTATACCAATCACCCGAAGCCCCAGAAACTGACTCCTCACCACTCCTAGCCAAGGTAATAGCTAAAGACGCCTCAGAAGACATTGTGGTTTTATGAAAACGATGAAAAGAGTGCAAGAACAGTGTTGAAGGGGGAGAGAAGACTACATAATGAGGAAATACCTAAAATGAATGAGGAACTTAGGAGACTCGCCGAAAGTTCGCCGGAAAATTTTTGACAGCAAGAGGGTTTCGGAGATTTCAGAGTATTTTGCGAAAATAAAGGGTGAAAATGGCAAGGCTTTGCCTTTTATACCAATGATGGGCCTAATCCTGGCCATTGGATCGAAGCCCAATTAATCTGAAGCGTCCAAAAAGGGATAAATCCTAGCCACAGATTTCGAACGGTTTTACAATTTCAACGCTCCAGATCAGCACGTGTGCATACCAACACAGATCCGCACATGGATATGTTCTCGAAACCACGCATCCTAATAATTAGCCATCATTATGCATTGAATTGGAATAGCTGTACTGTTATTGAAATTCGTCTCAATGCAACTAACTTGCCTTGGAAACGTAAGAAATCGTTACATCACAGGCACTAATATCAATGGTTGTCGCCTCGCCTTGTCCAAAGGAACTCAGCCTCGACCAGTTCGAATATGAACTCACCTCATCCAAAGGAAATCAGCTTCAGCCAATTCGAATATGAACTTCCCTCGTCCAAAGGAAATCGGCCTCGGACAGTTCGAATATGAACTCGCCTCGTCCAAAGGAATTCAGTATCGGCCAGTTCGAATATGAACTCGCCTCGTCCAAAGGAATTACTCCTCGGCCAGTTCGAATATGAACTCGCCTTGCTTCAGCTCCAAAAGAACTTCAGTTTTACAGGCAACTTTCTTAACCTTATGCTTCACACTTCTTAAATTCCACGCACAGTATGAATATCTCTGCCTGGACTTGGGGGACTAATGTGAAGTCTACGCTTGGCAAAAATAACCACACATGGACTTGGGGGACTATTGTTACGGGCCAATATATGAAAGCGACACGTGGCACTGTATTCTAGCGGTGGGACCAGCTTAA